ATGACGCCTCTTAAAGTGTTATAATGGATAGAAGATCAATGATTAATTTGAGTCATAAAACAACGTATCTGTTGATGACCTTTGAATCCAATGGTGCCACTCCTTCATTTCATCGTCACGCACACAAAGACTTTCTAACAGTATCTACATTTTTTTAATAATTTTTAATCATATTTTGCAAGTTTAACTTGTAATTTAATTACTTTTATGTTTACTTTTCAATTAATGTTTATTGAAACATAATATGTAGGTCAATTGCTTAGTTTCTTATCTACTCTTTCAAGTACTAGAGATTTCACGGGGAGATGTTCAACTCAATTTGCTTCGACGAGTATGATGAGTTTTTTTTTATAGCACCGATGATTTATAGTATAGTCTATTCTAATTTTAATTGACATAAATTGATGATAAATATTACAATTCCAGAGTGAATCTAAGCCATTTTAACCTTAATTCCTAATAGGCCATTTTAAACTTAGACTTTTGTAGCTTAGTGTCAAGAAGGATAATGCCCTCTTCTATGCCAAGGTTTTTGTTTCTCAACATCCTTTAAGATGCAGTCTTTTGAAAGAAGCTGTGTTGGGAGACATTAACCTTGATCAATTTGAAATAGTCAATTGTCTACTTTTGTAAGTACTTCTCACCCTTTAGTTCAAATAAGATGAACTCACCTTTTAGATGTATTAATTTATTTGTGATTGTAGTGATTCTTCTTTATATCCTAAGAGAGCGGTGGAGCGAAAAATACACCTATCATAGCTGAAGTTATAGCAGCCACACACATCAAAGGGTAATGTTTAGTTCATCATTAAGTTAAACATATTTGTTCCCAAAAAAAAGTTAAACACTTTTTCTAATACGTATAATCCCTAGTTGACCTTGATTTATTCCATGATGAATTGAGTGATAATGGACATGTGCATTAAGATATATAAATCTTAGCGTAGAAGATGACATTACACTTTCTATCATTGTGCCACAAAAGACATAACTTAAAATGATTTATAAGAATTAAATAATCGTAAAAATCTCTTCTGAAATTAAAATTTTGAAGCTTAGGCATTGAAATCTTGTATGTCTTTCTGGTGGATTTGTAAAGTGTGCATAAGGTGTAACAAGTCTACCTAATGTGGATTCTGAACGTTTACATCCATATAAAATTTCATGGTAAAAACACAAATATAACAAAAACCACATTAAGAATCAAAATCTAATTTTTCTCATTCAAAATTATCCTTTTTATGAATGTAACTTTTTTTATTTGAACTCCATTATCAATTGCAACCATAGATATGGCGCGCGTCATATGCGCCATCGCCAAGAAAATGCGGTCGTCACCCATAGCACCATATACGCTATTTGCGCCATTCGTATATGCGTCATCCCCATGCGTCATGAAAAATGTCTTTGAGCTATGACAACTATGATTGCAACACAAAAAGATAACTTGGAATTCATACTTCTTCGTTGGAGGAGGAGGTTCCTTAGCATCTTCTGTATCGACTAAGTAAAGGTACACACACGATTCACCATCTAGATGCTGATAGCTAACAGGAAGCAGGCGCGGAGCCAAGGGGGGGATCAGGGGGGTCAGTCGACCCCGCTGAAAGTTTGAGAGCATAGAGCTCTGAAATATCTTCGATTTGATATATTATGGCCCCTGTAACTCATTACGAGTAAAAAGTTATGACTTCTGTAAAATCAGCACTATCTAAACGTAAAATCAACAAAATTTGATGAGTAATATTGATTTTTTCCCCCAAATTTTAAAATAGCGTATAATTAACTCATTACTTACGTGACATGACTCAAAAATAGAGCAAAAACAGTCTCTTTTATTGTTACGAGTGCCTATTTATCTAAACTACATATAAAATATTCAACTCGGACATTGTTTGGAAACGATCCACCGTTTTTATTTTGTATAAAGTTGATTCTCGACCCTCTTGGACCGTATTTCTGGCTCCGCCACTGACAGGAAGTATGCATACAGAATTTGAGGGCACTCAACGGTGGATTCTGAGAAGTCACCGCTAAAAGACAACTCTTTGAATTTTAAATTGTTGTCTTCATCCAACTAACATGCTACCCCCGTCCCGTTTTATTTAGCCATCTTCAACTTTTTCAGTCAAAGATGGTAAACTTTGATTCATTATTTTAACTAATATATTTATGTGAAACTTAATAAATTTATACTTTTATGATAGTATTTTTAACAAAACATTTTCATATTATCAATAATACTGTATAGAAATATATATATAAGGTCGAAGTTTAACATTCTTGACTAGAAAAGTCAAATATGAGTAAATCAAAAGGGACAGAGGGAATATTCTAGGAGACTTACGGCCAAAGAAGTATAGAAAGCGATTTACATGAGTGCATCTAGCTTCTCTTAAAACCGATTTGAAATAAGAGAAAGACAATCTCATAACCTCATGATCGGTGAACATACAATCACCCGTGATGATAAAACATGTCTATAGTCTTTCCCATGCTTTGATAGGCATGTATGAGCATGAAAACATTTACATCATCTTCATATTCTTCCCCTTCAATAGACCAAATGTATTATTTAACCCCCACTACTTGAAAAGGTCATTTGTCAAAATCGGTAACACCCTATGTTTATTTAACATTAGCACTGCCGTCAATGTTCTAAAAATCGCTAGGCGTCTAGGCGGGGACCAGTCGGAGACATCGAAATGATAACTTTATCAATGATTATGCATAAATGATTAGTAATGTTGTGTTTGTCTGTGTATAAAAAACACACACACATACACATTAACATGCATGAGTGATAGAGTTCCACTCATTTAATAATATATTATACCTACTACTTAACTTCATTATGTAATAAATAATACTCTCTCCATCCCATTTAAAGATTCTCACTTTCCTTTTTTGGACGTTCCACTTAATGGTCTCCACTTTCTATTTTATGAAACAATTAACATTCTTAAATAACAACTTAATCATTAAATATTAAAAATAATACATTTTTAACATTACAGTTATCATCAATAACTCATTATATTATATACTCATCAAAATTATTTCTCAAAATATATTTGAATTAGCATATTGGATTATTGTCTAAATAATCGTGCCATTTTGTCATGGGAACCTTTAAACGGGACGGAGGTAGTATTCAATAATAATAACACTTAAGATTATATATAAATATGTATAGTTTCTATCTTAATTTACAACTAATAGCTTTCTTTTTATGTGCTGTTAAAGTTGAAGGTACATATATCTCTTAGAATACTAAAATAAAAAAAGCAAAATAAAATGTTTGACGAATCTAGACGCCTTAGACGGCCGATTAAGCGCTCTAATGGGCAATTAGGTGCCCCAGACAGTCGACTAATTCACTTAGGTACCAAATCAGTTAATCAGACTAAAATCAAGACACCCGGCCACCGCCTAGAGCCTAGGCGGGGACTAGTCGGACGCTTACTGTGATTTTTAAAATTAATATTTAAAATTAATATTTAATACTCCGTAATATTTAAAATTTTAAAACAAAAAACTAATACAGTTCATGACAATTTAGGTCTTGAATTGAGAGTGTTCAATCTCACTTTCTCCAAAAAAAAGATAATAGATTAGAGGAGAGAAATATTCATGGGGAGAAGAAACTATGTACTGCACTACTGCAAAGATCAAAGAGTGGCGACAAGATGAGATTATAATGGAACCATTAGAAACGTTTAAAAAAATTGAGATTTTTCAATCATTTTAGCTCTCTATCAACATGTTTCATCTTGCAGATCTCTTATTAATAATTCATATATTTTTCAGATCTAGATATGATAAAATACACTTATTAACCTAAAAGGTAAAAGTTACTTACAAAACGTTTTCTCTTGTATCAAAACTTTGAAGTCTAGACAAAGGAATATTGGAAGTCTTACCGGTTCTGATGTTTAATATGAATAAGATGTTACCCAACAATCAACATGACACCTGAGTTTACTAAACTTTTATACCAGTAATTTAATTTTTTTGATTTGGATCGATTTGATCTAATTGTTCAATATTTTTATTCAATTAAATTTTAATTGAATCGGATATTTTTGCGCCTCCACCGAGCAACACCACCTCGCACCTCCTTTTGCTGGTAAGGATCAGATCGGTGGGTGACAGAGATCAAATTCCTTTTGCTTCTATAGTGGAGAGCTAGAGACGTTTGGGATGTACTGGCAGGCCGGCCGGTTGATTTTGAGACACAATATTCAGCTACTCTAGCTAAACACTGCTCACAAAAGTAGGAGAATAGGTTTTGAAATTCCAAAATAGAACTACTATGTTTTTCTTCTTTAAATAGGAGTAACATGACTGCCATCTTCTAGTCATCACTATAAGAGCATCTCCAAATATGTGGCATGAGTGATAGCCACATAAATATTAGCAAATAAGTTATTTCTCTCCTTATTTGAATGATTTTATGCAATTTTGATAAGTTTTTTCCTGCAATGTCAACAACAATGTCAACATCTAGACGGTCTCCTTGACAGTGTGGAGAAAAACTTATCAAAACTGTATAAAACCATTCAAATAAGGAGAGAGAATTTATTTACTAATATTTATGTGGCTATTTCTCATGACACATGTGCACCGTGCACATTTTACCATTGGAGATGCTCTAATGAATGACAATACTTTTCAATCATGGCGGTAATGACTCCTATTTCGGGAAGGAAAACATAAAAGTCCTATTTTGGAATTCTAAAACCTATTTAGTCCTATTTAGGACAATTTCCCTTATTCGATCTATACTACATACGAGTCTCTATTTATCCATCTGTTCTCTTACTCTTCCTATACCACGTTTCTTCAGTTTTTTGGATGGGTGTTTTATGCATATAAATTGTCATTTTCCAATTGTTTATCACATTGAACTTGTGTAATGTATTTTCGTATTTTAAATTATTTATTTTGCAAATGAACCCTTCAAATGTAATTGATCTCCATACATAGTGCTGCTGCAGATATACTACAGGGTACCACGGTACCACCCTTTTTGGAACAGTGGCATTCAAGGTTCGTTGGGTTTTGACTTGCTAAAAAATAGTATGTACTTGTATGAATTTCCAAGTTGTAGATTTACTTCAGTCATTAATATTTCGAGTAGTTATCCAAACTTTGTTAAGGTGTTTCAAAGTTTGTTATTTTAATTTTTTGTTTGAGAATTCAGAAAAACTGCTAAAAGTTCGGAACAAGATGATGTTAACAGACCATTGTTTGGAAAACTATACACACACGGCCTTCATAAGTTATTGGATTCAATAGGTTGTTGGAAGATTATGTGGTCTTAGCTAGTCTATGCACAAAAAAAACTTAACATGTTAGTTTAGATACTTTAGGTCCTTATTACTGGAAGAGAAGACTCAGATATGCCCACATCCGCTCCAATGGATGATGGAACACAATCGTCAAACGCATTCCGAGATTGGATTCAGCTGCTTCCATAGCTGCTTTCTGCTCTATTAAATTATTGGTGGCTGCTTCGCAAGCTGCTCACTTTAATCAATTCAAGAAAGTTGTGGTGCATCACTTGAACCGCATCAAATAGTTAATAATATCTACGGCCATAATTGTCATGGTGCATGGCGAAGGCGCATATGGCACATTTGCTATGGCAACGACCACTTTTTCATGGCAATGACGAATATGGCGCACAGCCGCACACCATATCTCGCCATTGACTGCTATGACTGCAGTAAATAATACTCTTCCTATTACAAAAATGCTATTGTTACACACTTTTCATACACACTTATACACTATCGTGTCTGTGAAGAGTTATTTTTTGTCTGTATACAGACATAACGTATTTGAGAATACGTTATGTCTGTACACAGACAAAAAATAACTCTTCACAGACACGAGAGTGCATAAGTGTGTATGAAAAGTGTGTACCTCAAGTGTGGAAGTGTGGTTGGGTGACTGGGTGAGGTCAGATTTACATTTCAAACTAAACTAGCTTGGCAATTTTACACACTTGTTTGTAACACTTGAATTGACTAAATAGATGAAATCAGTTGATCCTATCAACCGGCTGGATTGGATGGAATTTATAAAATCTTGCCTAAAAGGCTAAAATGACTGCATTACCTAAGAAAGAATGACAAGAATATTATTGGTGAACTTTGGTAAAAAAATGACTATTTTATACTTAGACAAAAAAGTGACCATTTGGGGCAAGGGGAAGGTGATTGAATTACCTAATATACTACCTTCGTTCTTAAATAAATGTAACACTTCGACTTTTATATTATTCACATGTGGTTTGGTCTGAGACTTAAATAAGTATATGTATAAACATCTCAAGTAATATGTTGACTATGCATTTATACGAATTGCATTTTTACACGAATTGCCTTGGCAAATTGGCAAATTAGGGGGTGTGCAAATGTGTGAAAGTGTGTTACGGCATAATAAACAATACTGAAATATGAATTTGTGTGAAAATGTTAGTTGAGAAAAGTAATGCTATCATTTAAGCACAATATCTTTCGAAACACATTCAATAGGTTGAATCTATATATGTGACAATTTTTTGAATTTTGTCACTATATATGTTACTATATACTACCCCATTTTAAATAAATGCAACACTTTAACTTTTACATTATTCACATGTTCTACTTTGACTACGTTTTATTTAATAATGTAATAATATTATTTTATGAAAAAAATATTGTTAAACTTGTCTGTAAATTTTCATAATCTATTTTTTTTTTTTAATTTTGTACTAATACAAAATCATTTATATTGATGATCAAAGTTGTGTCTCGCCAAGTCTGAAATGTGGATGGTTCATTTATTCAAGAACAGAGGAAGTCCATAATACAAACCTTACCCTCGGTTTAACTAGAGCAACGGCCAAAGTACAAAACCAAAGATAGAAATAACCCCGAAAGCCAAAAGCGAAATCAAACCCAGCAATTAGCCCGATGGTAAAGTGGCGACACTTCAAAGTTCAAACCGTACAGGCTACATTAGGGATGGACTCGGGCCGGTTCGGGCCTGGGCCCGGCCGGGCCTCGGGTCTGTTTTGTTGGGCCCGAGCCCGAACCGGTGGCCACCGGTTCCGGGCCGCACCGGGCCGGGCCACTCGGTTAGTTTTTTTCCTTTTCTTTTCTCCCCCTCGCCAAAAATTGTAACCGAGCCCGGAACCGCCCAAGCCCCCGGGCCTAGGTCCGAACCGGTCCTGGAACCGGAAAACCGGGCTGGGCCGGTCCCGCACAGTAGTGGGCCGGGCCGGTCTCGGGCGGCCCGAACCGAGGCCATCCCTACCCTACATGATGAGGGTACCACCGTACCAGTCAGTTGTCATCTTAAAGTAGAATTACAATTTTAATTCAGTAACTTTATGTTGTTTTTATTATTAATCTTCTAAATTTAGTCACTTGCAAGTTTGGTCTTGTAATCGATAAATCGTTAGATTTTCTGGAAAAAATCTAATGCCGGTGGCATATTTTCTTGCATATTTATGCCATAAAGTAAACTTTTCCACAAATATTATATTGAAAGGTGTTAATAATGAAAGTGTTAGTAAAGATGTTTTTACTTGGATTAGTTTTAGTGCAAGAACAAACTACACTTAAGAGACCAAATCAAATTATATCAGATATAAACAAACCAGACTTCCATAATTATAAAATACACAGAAATCAGAAATTTAGGATATTTTTACTTGGACTATAATTTGTTGGTCTGGCCTAGTCTATTTAAGTCTGGTCTAGTCTGGTCTGGTCTGAACTAGTCTGATCTGGTTTGGTAAATGTCTGATTCTATGTATTTTATAACTACGGAAGTCAGGTCTGGTATGATCTATTTAAGTCTGGTCTGATCAGGTCTGTTCAAGTTTGGTATGGTCCGGTCTGGAACTGAAACCAGTCCAAGTAAAAAACATCCTTACAAGACCAAACCAAACAAGTTCAGACTAGACTAGACCACCCGAAATTTAAACAGACCAGACCAGCAAATTTCAAACCAAGTAAAAACGTCCTAAGTGTTGGCGGGGTCTGAAAGGGAAGGTAAGTGTAAAACATAAATTTTCCATGTTTGGTAGATTTAAAAAAATGAAAAGTTTGTAATGAAAGTCTTTTTGCTAAAAATGAGAAAAATATCCTCATGCCAAACATAGCAAAACAAATATGATCTATTACAAATAGAAACATTTACGAAGAAAATTATATTATGCTACGTATAACTTAGCAGCACTGCAGCACCATGAAGCTTGTTATTGACAAAAAACAAGGGCTGGAAAAAATGGTTTGTACGTTTTGAAAAAGTGTTTCAAAAGAAAAGGAGATACTTAATAGTATCAATTACCCTAACAGGCAACAGCTTACTAGGAACAAAAATGATTTACACTCCCTAATCCAAATTTATTAACCTTTAAAGATTTCTGACCTAGTTTGTATGATTGAGCAATCAAAATACATTGAAAGCTACAAAAAAGTGATTTACATATTGGAAAGGTAAGCATAAACTATAGTTGTTGATGGTGTTATGGACTCTCTGTAAGGTAGACAGGAGATCTTGAGTCCGGTCGGAGTCCCTGTAAGGTCGAACCCTAAGACTTACAAATGTTCTTTTTTGTGTTTCGTTTTCAGCTTTTGCTTTTATTTCAGGGTTACCCAATTAATCATACGAGTAATATTTAGCAAAAACACTTCTACATGAAGCTAATGTCATATGTGTGGGTAATACTCCATCCGTCCCTTAAAACTTTGCCTAGTTTGACCGGCTCAGAGATTAATAATTAACCGAAACCACAAATAACCAACCAGCACTGTGTGGTTGAGGTTTGTGCAAAGGAGTAAAAATTAACTGAAATCACAAATTCTTAACTAAAAAGGAAAAATGACAAATTTAGTGAGACAATAAAAAAAAGGAAGACAAAATTTTAAGGGATGGAGGGAGTATTTTAATAAACATCTGATCATGTACAATTTTTGAGTTGTAAATTACTTATTATAAACCATTTTTTGTAAGTTGGAGCTTAGATTAAAGAAAAATTGTGAATGCACAATCTATTGTGTACAACATTCGCACACTTTGTCTGTATAAATTGTTTGTATACAGACAACTTGTGTATTTCCATAAGAATTGTATGTATACAGATTATTTAGAACTTATGTAAATTAGAACGTTGTTGTTTTTGAAACTACGCATTCGAATACATGTTTTCGATACATGTTTTTAATGAAGGGTAAATTAATTTGTGAATGATGTGAAAAGAACAGGGGTGGAGACAGGGGTAGGCTGGCGGTCATGGCCGTTTTTGGGCAGGTTCATTAGGTTCGGTGGAACAGGGCCTACCAAAAAACTGAGGGCCCCAAAATTTGTTAATTTTAGTATTAGTATATAGTTATGTGTTATGATTTTATTATAATATATTATAATACTCCGTATTAATTATTATTCCGCAAAAGCAAAACCCGAACGGCCAGACCAGGGACTCCTCACGCGGACACACCTCTCAAGCAGCGCAGCCGCCAGCCAACATTATCTCAAAATAAAAAAAAAAAAAACTCCTCGCCAAACTCATCGTCTTCCTCACAAGTCCGCCCCGGAGGCTGCTCTAGTGCTCTTGCCCGTGCTTTGCGCCTCCACCAGTCCAGCAGTCTGCCTAGTACGCAGGTAATTAACAATTATTCCGATCTGATTGATTTCTGATAAATTGTAAAATTGATAATACGAAATTCCCAAATTCTAACTGTATGTGCGGTAATGGTGTAGTGTCCAATTATTTACTTTTTAGTTAATTGTTATGATTTCAAATATTTAATTATTTATTAATTTATGAAATTTGATTTCAGAAGGTGTTCAATTTTTTTATTGTTGACTAAAGTCTTCAAATTTTCACTTTGTTTAGGTTGGTTGAATTTTGTGAGTTTGTTATTATATGTGTTTTTGTTTTTATTCATATATGAGGCCTCAATTTTGCATTGGAACTGAGACCTCTAAATCCATGTGACGGCCCTGCTGGCGGTGGCCTTGGCCCCTACAAGAAAAAAAAATTGTGATGTATATATATGTATAAATATTTATAAGTAGTAAAAAAATATAGTGAAAATTTAAGTTTTAGCCCCTGCTATATAAATTTCTTAAACGTCGGTCCCTGTAAGAGTGTAAGCTGTCAATCCTGGCTCCGCCCCTGGAAGGGAAGACCTATATTATGAACACGATACTATTTTTGTGAAGGGAAATTATCATTTACCACCCTTCAGGTTTCACGTATTATCACCTAGACCCCTGCACTATTAAAAATATACACTTACCCCCCTCCCTATCCTTTAATGAAAGTTTAATAACTCTTAATTACGTTTAGAAATAGTATAAATTCAGTTTTATAAATTTACTCACTTGCAGATTTAACCTAACAATTAATAAATTTACTTGTATTCAAAATCTTTCCACCAGAAAATACTTTTTTGCAAGAACATGTACTTTCCAATGAAATAGCCCTTATTAATGACAAGGTACATAACTACATCTACATGTGAGTAAAATTACACTTAGCAGACACAATCGAAAGGTACGAGCTTAAAACCATAAATCTCTGTTACTTTTAAAAGTTCAAAAATATATTTGAGGTTGTAGAAATCTTGGTGAAACTTTTCTGACGAGAGAAAGATGTCTAATACGTATATTTTATACGTAAAACAGATGTTGTTGAAGGACTTTTAGGAGACTATTGTTACCTATTGTAAATTTGTATGAGAAGTACTTACTTTTGTGATTCATATTAGGGGCGGACAAGGCCCGGTCTCCAGAATGACCGATTTTTTAATTAAGATTTTAGTTTGGGATCGAGACCAGACCGGTGAACAAGAGGCCTCAGGCCTCACTTTTTGGACCAGGATTGGAGCCCATGTTTTGACTCCGTTCATTTTTTCATTAAAACCATTGAAAATATTTTAAAATTGGTTATAGTCCGTTTAAAATTAAAAAATAGGTAGTTAAGTATTTAAATTATCGGGAGCCAACCTAGACAAATTAGGATGTTAGAACCGAAGATAAGGTCATGGGCCACACTAATTATTTAGCACTAACCAGTCTGGGTGTGAAACTCATGATAAATTATAATGTCTTTACCAGTATTTTACATGTAAACATGTTCATATTTTTTCAAATGTTAATTTACAAGTTATATTATACCTATAATAATCTCATTTTCAGTGATAAAAAAGTTTCTAGAGTGCAAAATGGGAATTTTCTTGCATTCAATCTTTAATGGTAAAACCGAGTAGTCAACATCACTTTTGAGTCGGTTTGGTTCAATTAAGTTGATTTGTTTCAATTCTTGACAAATTTAGCTTATTTTGATCATTTCCATGCCAGTTGAGTATATTTAGTCACTTTACAAATTCAAAGGTATAAAACGAACTACCTAGAGTGGGGTCAGTTTTGTTTGACTTCCGATAAAAATGTCATTAATATGGACAAATTTATTAATTACCGGATCAAATTTGTGATTGAATAAAATTACAGCATTAAAAGCGGACCTAACGAAAAATAATGAAATTATATCTATAATTTTCTCTAAATATAGATTAGAAGTTATTTAATCATCATTAAAGGATAGGGAGGGGGGTAAAAGTATATTTTTGATAGTATAGGGATGTGATTGATAATGCATCAAACCCGAAGGAAACTAATATTTCCCTATCGTGAATGATCTGATAATGACACACTCTCTGTCAGCATCATGGTCTCACATATCACTAACATTGTCCCACGTGTCTTGTGATATTGTGACCTCCAACGTCAAATTATTGACAAGTTATGTTGATTTCTGTTCTAAATTGATGTACGGGACTACAATCCCCATTTTTAAATACATAGGAAAAAAGACTACACGCAACATGAATACATCTAAGTTGTGCAAGTATACGTTGCAAAAGTAGACGAAGAAGTATATCACACAAACAACTACTGTGCAACTTTAAAGAGAGACACATTCAAACAGACAAATAAAGCAAGTCCGTGAAACAAGGCCTAAATAACCTAAAATACATACTTCGTGAGGTATTTTCCCAGCTATCTAATGCGATTTTCAAAGAGGAACTTAACTTCTTCAGGAAAAACATGACTTCTTTTTGCAGTTACTTGCAAGCAAGCCCCATCGTTGAGCATATGCTGCAACACCCTTGCAATGTTTTTGGAATCATCGATTCCAAGATGGTGACTGCCTAAAAGGGGAATATTCAGTTCCCTCATCATGGAAAGCATCCCTGGGGCCTGCAGTGCCACAAAACAAAACCAAGCTGAGGTTCAACATTTAATAATGCACCAATTAGGGGGTGGAACTTAAAAAGAGCTTCAATATATATATGCTGACCCTTCGCTTATAGAAGTTCAGATATATGTCCTTCAGATTGATCCATTCCATAAAATATGACGGAAGCTTCATCTTTGATACTTTGCACTGCTGCGGAACTTTTGTTTTCAAATCCCAATTCCCACTGTTACAGGCCATTCATAAGATTGATATCAGTAATTCCTTTCCATGATTTTGTGTTTCATGAGAAAATCAATATGAAAAGCATCTCGAAACAACAGTGCAACATATCAAATCCACATCTGATACACTTGCATATGGAGCATAAGTAGACAAACCAGAAGGCAAAAAGATTCCAAGAATGCTCTAGAACCAAAGATATTTAGTCATGGCTCCATAGCCAGTGACTAGACTAAGAGAGTCCATCTATTGCCTGAAAAGATTATTTGAAAAAAACACTATCGCTTATCACCATGTGTCTATTAACATTTTTTATCTTTTACATTTAAAGAGTTATCCTTTATATTTAAATTAAGGATCAGAAAATCTTGAGAGTGCTTTTCTAGTTTTATCTTCTCATTTTAGGTGACTTACCAGGTCACAAATGCAGCCTTATTTAGGCAGCCACCCCCCTCCTTTTGCCACAATTCATTCTTAGCTAGCCAAGTTTCAAATTGCTTGATAACTTCTCCGAAAGGGATAGCCGTATCATGCCAAACCCTGGAAGAGTGTAAGCACACCGAAATCAGCACATTAGACACCATCCTGGAACTTAGAAATGGATTATGCCTGGACTAGAACCAAAATATAGAGGATTGAGTCCAAAAGATAAAAAGAATAACTCTTCATCACTGGATTCTAAATTTTTGTCCTTTTTGTTTTGAGACTTTATTTCATTAGAATGTGTTTGGCTAAGGACTTTGGCTCTCGAAATGCTATCTCAAGTTAAACTCATCCCGCATTACCTGTTGGGAGGAGTATTTTGTGAGTGATTTACAAGCACAAAATTTGAAGTAATGCAATGAACTGTAGCCTTTTCAATTATAGCACCTCGTGTTTGTTATTTTCTTGTTTCAACCATTTTGCATGATCTAAAAGGTTAATTTTTTATATACTACGTAGTTTACATTGATGTTTTACAAAACAGTTACCCACAAAATTAATTTAGACTTTTAAAGCAACCCTGTTTTCAAATCAAAGCACGTTTTGAAGATACAGTGTTTTTAAATAACAAAGAAAGTTTTAAAATCATCAAATCAAATTACGTTTTGAAAACATAGTGTTTCTAAAGAAGAAGAAAAAAATTAATAGTATCACTTACCCTAAACAGGCAACAGCCTACTAGTAACAAAATCGCTTTACACCACCTAATCCAAGTTTATTAACCATTAAAGACAAGTTATGTAATCTTAGTGTGTATGATTGTGCATAGAAAATACACTGAAGGGAAATTGCCCTAAATAGGACTCCAACGTTTGTGTATCCCAAAATAGGACTATTATGTTTTTATTTCCTAAATAAGAGTAATTACTGCCATGTTTTGGCAATACCAAACTTTAAACTTGGCAGTATTTTCCAAGTTTGGTAGTAACTACACCAATTTAGGGAATAAAAACAGAGAAGTCCTATTTTGAAATTTTCAAACGTTTTTACTCCTATTTTGAGAATTTTCCCTACATTGAAAGCTACAAAAAGAAGTGAACAACATTATACTACGGTAGAAAGGAAAGCCAAAATCATACCTGTCAACCCCAATTTTCCCATACTTTCCTTCTATATATTCATTTATTCTTTGCTCGCTCATTTTTGAAGGCCGGACAAACCTGTACAAATATTTGTGAAAAAAACAAAAGAGCATATGATTGAAATGTATTCTCTCTGCACCCAATTATTGTTTTGACATGAAACAAACTCAAGTAGCCTGGAAACACAAAGTAATATGGCCACTTTTTTATAGAGTCACCTCACATGTAAAAGACTATAATTGTTGGTTTGTGTTTTAAATTTGTCTCATTGGGATGACCAGACCCTCCAGGTTATATTCATACTCCCTCCATAACATAAAAATCTTCCCACTTTCCTTTTTCGTCCGTAACAAAAAAATCTTCTCATTTCTAAATCCCATCATACCCTCAATAATTCTGAAAATAATACATATTACAACTACTTTTTTTTGGATTTATCCCACATTCCATCACATTATTTCACTATCTTCTCATCATGGCCTCAATAATTCATATCCTCTTTCACTATTCTTAATCTACCTACTTTTGAAATGGGAAGGTTTTTAAGTTACTGAGGTAGTATGTTTTATGTCTGACCTGAAAGATGTAATTTCTTTCTCAGTCCACTTAGAGCTTCCTTTCGTGCCTTGACGGCCTTGTTAAGTTTCTATTCATATAGAATTGTAGCCGTTTCTTCTCAAAAGGAGCATCTAAAATTAGGAAGTTGTATATTGTAAGTGCCATATCAATTAAATAATACTACTAATCCGTAGTTTATTATTCTAACATGATAAAATAGATATCACATCCATAAGCTAACAATTAAATTCTAAGGTTAAGTGTTTTGTCACACTAAAATACTATCAGGCTAAGGTTCAATTTGCATATCAATCTAAAATCCAAACATGTAAAGTGTAAACCTCTCAAGTCTCAATACTACGTAGTATATGTTAAGCAAAAAGAATCTCACCTATGAAAGAAATCTACAACATCCATGGTTTTCGTATCAAACAATAGTACAGGGAATTCAAGTATTTCAACTTTCCCTTCCAAATCGAGCACGAGAAGAAAATCTAAACCCTGCTGCAGCAAGTTCCTCGATTGCAAAATATTTGCCGCTAGCTTCCCAGCCACGGAGCAACAGTGATTGAACTTCTCAGTATGTGTCACATCATCCATCTAAATTGACGCCATAAATGAAAAATGTAGTTCTAAAAGTGAAATTTTCTTATGGGAGGTTGCTGAGGGAAGTGATTACCTTAGTGCATTTACCTTGAGTGAAGTACAAGCACGTCGGCTTCCACCGAACGTTCTGCGGTTGGGCTGTCGAAGAAATCAGAGGCGAGCTTGATTCTTCCGTCATTATTGACTGAGAGGCAAAAACGCTGAATTTGCGGCTGCATTGGAGGCCTAAAGATAAATATGAAGATGTAAATGGAAGCGATGGCGACAGAACGTGATACCTGCGGAACACAGAGGCCGTTGAGAGAGCCATTTCTGCTTAATTGGAACCTGGAAGAGTCCGGTTCAGAAGGTCAATCTATTGAAATAGATATACGCCCCCCGTTTGCAAACACAAAAAAAAAAAAAAAAAAAAAAAAAAAAAGTGAAAAGATGTTTTCAAATGACAACTTCTATTTAAATGAATTGCTTAAAAGTTAAAAGCTAGAATCGGCTTTTTACTTTTTTTTTATTACACAAAAAACACTTATTTTACCAAATAGCATCAACTTTTACTTTTCAAAATCACTTTTTCTCAAACACTACCAATTTTTCCTATTAATCACTTTTTTACCAAATCATTTAAAAAAGTTAAAAGGACTTCCCAGTTGTGTTTGCAAACCGTTAATAAGCAATTTCATTTTTAGTTTGGATGAGGTGTTAGGGGTGTTTGGAACTGTTTCTTTTTTAAAGCAAAAGTAGAATCAGAATCATTTTTCAGAAGCTGGTCTCCCCCAACTTCTAAAAAACTGATTCTATGAGTAAATTAGAGCACCAGAATCACTTACCACTTTCACCCAAACACTTCAACTCATGCTTCTGTTCCCGGAAGGAGCAAAAGCAGTTTTGAGAATCAGATCCAAACACTCCCATAGTAATGGAAGTGTTAGGATGTTTTCTTTTGGACTTGAATTTGTTGGCCTGGTCTGGTCTGGTCTGGTCTGGTCTTGTCTGAACTAATCTGGTATGGTCCGGTAAATGTCTCGTCTGTGTGTATTTTATAACTATGGAAGTCAAGTCTAGTCTGGTTTGATCTGGTCTGATCTGGTCTGAGAAAAGTGGACAATTGAGGTGATGGAAAGGTTATTATTAACACTTCTTAACCCTTACTAACACTTCTTAACACATCTTAATTTCTCTCTAAAACAAGTGTTAGTATCAACACTTACTAACACTTCTATTACTAACACTCTCTAACACTCAATGCAAACAGACCGTTAATTTGGCGTGAAGCAGGGGCTGAGCCAAGATTCTCTCACAGGGGCTACAAGAAGAGTACAAACAATATAAAGAAAAGTATTAAAATAAAAATAGAGTTCATAAATAGATTATTATTGTTTTATTTTCAAAATAGAACTTTTTTTGGGCAATTCTTTCTAACCTATTATAGTATTTGTTCTATGTTAAGGCCAACATCCTTGAATTGGGATGCGATTCGAACATGTGACCTCCTTCTTGAGAGTGTAACAGTGTGACACCGCACCCGAACATCCTTGAAAATTCGATTTAAAAATTTAACATTTATGTATTGAAATTCCGATTGCCAAACAATTGTAAAGCGATTAATGTTTTACGTAGTGCATGACTGAATATCGTACTGTTCAAACTCGTATGATAGTGTCGGGTTTGCAAACACTTTTCGGGACTTATTAATAAATAAAAGAGCTCAACATTATCTAAATAAGTGATCGAATGATTAAAAAGAATACCAATGCCTACAACCCTATCTTTGGCATTTTTGAGCTAAATAATGGAAGTAGGATTTTCCTTCTATAATATCCATCAAGTAAATTATTGGGATGAACCTACACATATTGGAGATCTATAATGTGATTTAGGAAGTTGACTTGTTCTAAATAAATTAGGATGAGTACAAAAAGACATCTTTTGACAAAGATAAAACAATAGGACCCATTTTCCCATTTTTGGAAGTATTGGTAGATAATTTGGATCCCAAAATGATTGGGATCAATTGGGAACCACTCCACATGATATTAGTACCTGCAAAACAAATAAAAATGGGTTAGGAAACTTACCTTGGACGACCACCATGGAGGGGAGCTGCACAAGACTTGATAGGAATCAAATGTTGGGCCACCATCCCTATTTTTCGCACAAAATGGTGTGCTGGTTGTCTCCACTCATTATGGGAGTTATACTCGACCAAACAACGTGTATAAGGCGTCCTTGGATAGCTTTTGAAGTCTATTTTTATAATTGAGTGGTCTCTGTTCGAGAGGAGAGAGCAATCATCCAAAAATCGATCTGGAACGAGCAGTGGTCTGTGAACTCGAGCTGTGAGGGTGCTGAGACTGTTTGGTTGATATCTCGAGTTTTACCAATCCAATTAAGGCATGTGAGATACCAAAAGAAAGATCTCAAGACGAGGAATCCGTGAAGGTCTGGTTTGTATCAATCGGAGTTGTGGAAGACTTCCAAATCGTCCGAGCAAAACACAACCTCGCAGGAGAGGATTTAATCTTCTAAAGAAACGAGTTAACCGGGAAACACCCGTTCTAGGGGCTGTTTTTGTATCAACGATTAAGGGTTGAACTAGCACTTTGAGGAGGCTGTTTAACACTCATATTTGAGCAAGGAATCAGTCCCAAATCCACCTTGACCAAAGCTTTGACCATTGGACCAAGAAGGGAAAGTTTAAAGCTCAATTGAGGTGAGGATTGACATCTAATTGCTTACAACTTGTAGGTTAAGCATGAGATTACCTAAATGCTTAAATCATGATTTTTTTCATGGATTATGATGATTATATATTGATGAAATATTGATATAGTTGCCAAGGAATGAAATTTGAAATGATTTGAGAACGTATGAATAATATGAGATTAAATGAGTATAAATGAACTATTTTGTGAAATAGGCATTTTGCTCATGTATGAATTATGTGGATACATAAATGAATATTTGTGTATTGAGATTGAATACTTAAGTTGCTGCTACATAATTAATAATGTGTAGAGAATTACAAATAATGAGGATAATGGTATGATAACAATAATCTTAATAGTATTAAAATACTAGTTAGTGATTATTGGAACTTGTTGATTAAATTTATCCTAGGGATTGGATGGTATGAAAGGTACTTGAATACAGTTCAAGTGTATATAATAACTTAGTTTGGAACTAAGGTTAAGTTATGGGAAGTCTTTAAGGATGACCCAAAGTAGTTTAATGATATGTCAATTCTAGGCATAGGGTTGCTTGAGAATTGGACCTTAATGCATGGTGATGTAATAGAGCCGAGCTCTAGAATGCATGTAAGGTGTAGACTTGGAGTCTATGTATTGTATAGCTAGAGCCGAGCTCTAGGACTTGCGTGGTGATGTGATAGAGCCGAGCTCTAGAACGCAAGGTAAGGAAATTGACCCGAGGTATATGAATTGTATGGTGATGTGGTAGAGCCGAGCTCTAGAATACAATGTCATGTACTAGGGTTGGACTCTAGGAGTTGTCGTGGCTTATAGTCACGGGGTTGGGAATGGTGATTTCCAAATGAACATGGGCCCACGGGCCGACTACTTGACTTTTATATAAAGTAAGTATATTTTTAAACGGGGTAACTTAGGGTTACAATCATAATGTACTATCACCCTATTTGAGGGTCTTGTGTTTGAAATACTTGTTGTATATCTATTAGATGCCTGCCACACCAGTACTTTATAGCCGTATAGAGTACTGACCCCTTCGGGGGCGTCCCACCACCATTTCAGGTTGAGGCTAGAGCTTGCATCCTGTGCTCGTTGATCGGGGGATTCCTCGGAGAGAAGACTTGGTTCGTGCTTCCTCCGTTCTATTTGAAACATTAATAAACTTGCTCATGGATATTTTACTTTAGAGCCTGCGTGCTCATGAATAGCCCTGTGTGGCTCTTGTTTTAAACAATGTTTTCCGCTGCGTTATGAATTACTTATTATGTTTGTTTATGGATGTATATGTGTGAATGATATTCAAGACGCCTTGTATAATATGAATGTGTTGGACTGCGGTTGACTATTCGTATTGTACGGCGGGTTGTTGACGTGTCCGGATAGGTCCGGGGCGTGACAAACAGTAATGTCGTCAAGAATGATCAAGTCATAGCTACCTTATAGAATCCACTGTCCGACTTCCTATGTTTGAGGTGCTTCTGGATGGACTTTCTAGATGCGGTTTTATGACAATGTTCTTTATGATGTGTAGATTATTTACACCAAATTTCAGTTTAAAAGTCAATCGTCAAGTTAGTTAAATAAATTATCGAAAAACATTGTGTCAAAAACTATACGAAAAAACGCAATGTTTCCAAAATTTATTTTATTGACTTCCTGTTTGAAATTTAAGTTGATATGTGGTGAACATAATCTATACTTCATGAAATACATAATCACAAAATTTCATCAGAAAATTCTACTCGGAAGCATCTCAAATGGAGGCTTCTACGGGGTAATTCTAACCCAATCTTTTCTTATTATTTCATACTCCCTCTGTCCCCGAAACAAGTTCCCATTCATTATTCATTGGTCAACTTAAGTCACTTCTAATCTTTTACTTTATATATCAAATTTTTATCAAATTTAAATTTTCTTGGTAAGACTTTGTAGCGGTTTTAATGTAGTTTCTGAATATGTAAATTTTATTTACTAAAAATAATCTGAGTGTGAACAGGGATCGAGTTGCTTTATCGTTAGTCAAACATCGTAAACCGAATGAGAACTTGTTTCGGGGACGGGGGAGTATGTAATACTAGTACTACAAAAAAAAAGTTGGGGGGAGCCTCCCTACCCATATACATAGCTCCGTCCCCAGAGTGTTTGAATAGGCTTCTTAAAACAGTTGTTTGTATTTTTTCCGAAATATTGAAGTGTTTGAGTGAAAGTAAATGAATACTTCTAAATGCTTTAATTAGGGAAATCAGTTTTTAAAAAGCTGATCCTAATTCTAATTCTTTTTTTTTATCATAGAACTCTTTTAAAAAAACAAATTTAACTCATTTATAAAGTCTTTTAATAATGAGAAAATTGTTGTTGTTAAGACTAAATGATACAAAATTTACCGGATTAGGACTTAGGTTTTATCCATCTGTAATCTTTATATACTTCAACTTAACTTTTAGTTTTCGTTTTTACGCTCCACTTTAGGCTATCCCTGCATTATAATTCCATTTATATCTAAATTGCTAATTAAATGGGCTTTTAAATGAGGTATCTCTTTAGCGACTTGTTCAGGGCCTTGGCTTGTCACATTAGTTTTAATTTCAAATGTTTTAAAGACGTATAACCTCCTCCCCCTCCGACCTCCCCCCCTCCTCCCCCTCCACTGTACGAAATTTTATTAAAATGATAGCAGTGGAAATAATATATTAAAAAAAGGGGTTATGTTACGGCCCATTAAGGTT